GACTTATTTAAATCACATGACCATTACTTAAAGCCATCTCTGTATATTTGTTTTTTGAACACTACTTATAATGTCAGCAATATGTATATATATATATATATATATATATACACATATGTATGTATAAACATATATACATACACACAAATACATTCAATATACCTGAAGAATCCATCACTCCACATATTTCTGAATCTGATTAAGATTTATGATTTGAAGAGTGGAAGTGATGAGAATCCAGTATGTTCTCAGGTAAATTGTTCCTACATTTAACTATCCCAAGGATAAAAATGTGATCCCTATTCCTCGCACAAATTGGATTTAATTATGACTTTTTTGGCATTAGAATTGTGAACTGTTGAGTATCAGAAATCATTTCCCTGTACAGGCATTTCTAGATTAAGTTAGTAGAAAACAGAGTTAAATATGCTCTGCGGTTTCAAGGCAATTAAAACTGATTGAATTAAAGAGAGTGGGATTCTCATCCTGTAATTATGAAACACTGAAATGTTGTATAAAGAAAGCTGAATAATGTCTCTATGGAGAGACACTGCAGTTTCTAGCCTTGATTCACTTAATGTTATGAATTTCTCCTGTAATTTTAAATAGGACTGTCTTCAACTTAAGAGTGCAGTATTTAAAAATCTAAAAAGCAATTGGTGATGAAACCTGCAGTTACTATTCTAGACTGAGTGGGAAGCACTGTCTTACCACAGAGGTGGTCATATGGCAGAAGTAACTGGATGATTTTTGACCTTACATGAAAATGAGTGCAAAACTATGCCATGAAAGATTATTTTCATTTTTTTTTTCCTGCTCTCTGCCAGACTACAACTTGTCTGGTTCCAGATAGATTGCCCTGACCTGCTTTTTATCGAGGTGTAAAATAATAATTTCTCGGCTAAACTGCAAAAAGGTTTCTGGCATTTATGCTACCTAAGATGAAACCATTTATTTCTAAATCCTGTTGATCAAACCATTACTGCTCTGGTCTTGTTCAGTTTGTCTTACTCATTCTTAGGGGTAAGACAACCCTTTCTGTTCCCACATTTATTCTGTACAGGACTGGCAATAAAACCAGTCAGGCCAAATGGTACAACTTTTCTTTTTCACGCATCCAAGAAAAAAATGACTGTCCCTAATCAACAAAAAACCCCATTTGTCTGAGGAAGGAGGGATGGGAGAAAACAGCTCCAAAGTATCAGCACAGAAAAAGGACAAAGCAGACAATAATTAGGGTAGAAGGAAGACAGAAGACAGCAAACAAAGCATGAAAACAGCTGTAACACCACAACCTTGTATCAGCGTGACAAGAGCACTTACTAGCAGCTCCTATAAGAGGGGATAAAACAGCTAATCAACTGTTGGGGTGGAAACATGCAACAAAATTCCTTCCACAAACCACAGAGCAGGGAGGAAAACTTACAGCAACACTTCTGTCAGACAGAAGTGACAAGAAAACAACCATGCTTGAAGGAATGCAACAGAAATCGCCTGGTCTACAAAAATGTAATTTAAAGAAACACCTACTGGGAAATGAGACAAGTGTAAGGTTCAGTTGCAAGCTATGTAAAAATTTTGAGAGATTTTGAAACAGAATAGTAGACTTGGAGGCATATGTTTATGTCCAAATCCAATATTGCAGTTTGCTCCCAGTTAGATCCATGTCAATCAGAGGCAACAACATGGACTTCAAAGTAGTTACATCTGATTGATGCTGGCGTAAATACGGGCATAATCTGGTCTGGGTCAGTAGAGTCTGCAATCATCATCAGATCCTTATTAATTGCTTTGCATGATTATTCACAAATAATAGTAATCCCTGCCAGAGTTTTTTAATGGTTGTCAACAATACTAAGGATGTGCAAAATGACTAATACACACAGATGGGGAATGCAGTGGATTTCAGCTCTTAATGTCTGCTGTACAGATTTAACAGAAGTGGCCCTAAGTGACTGAACATCTTCCAAAAGAGAAAAATGTCTTCAAAATGTAATTAAAGTTGCTGGAATATCATAACATATACCAGCAACAACATGGATATAATTATTACCCCATCAGAGCTGGAAAGACATAAATGCTGGGACTAAACTCCACTAAAATATTGTACAGCCAATGTACATTTGGATAAACCTCTTTGATTGCCTTTTTTTTTTTTTTTAATTTATTATTTTTTATTACCAGTGCAAATATCTAAGGCCATGTGGACAAGCCATCTTTTGTACTCAAAAGGCAACAACAATTTAGGTGTTAGTATATCTCCAGATACTTTTTTCTCTTTCACCTAGGTCTGACTTGGAGGTGAATGTCTTACTGAAGATATTTCTTCTTTCCACCCTTCCATCATAAATGCTATAACTTTCTCTGTAAGATATTGGGCCACATGACCATTCTTTTCCTTTTCAAGTTCCGTGTATCACCAGGTATAGGAGACAAGAGTCACAGCATGGTATCTACTAACTGTACATAAGCAGAATATATCTTACAGTTTATAGTATGAGTTTAGCAATTCCCAGTAACTGATATATTAGTAATAGATGACAGACTCACATGTAAAGTAATTCCTTTCTATACTATTGCTCTCCATTTTTAAGTTTTGCAGATCTTGCCACAATGATGTGAAATACAGCTAAATTCCTCCTATTCAGATACATTGCTTTCTGAAACACAAATATTTGAATAGTAAACTTGGATATTTTTAATATCTTACACTCTTAGCAATACATATTACATGATTATATATCATTTGATGGTTATGATGCTTTCCAGGTCCTAAACTTTTTCAAACATCAAACCTTGCCTTCAGTTGAAGCTGGAAGCAACCTCAACATTTGACATTTATACTCCTTGTTCATAGCTAAGATGGCTTTTCTATTGTTTGCTAAAATTCTCAAGCCCTTTAGAAACTTAAATAGTGCCTTGTTTCCCTGGAATATACTGGGATATCTTCAAACTTGTTTGATCCCATGATCAATCACTGAAAATTTGAGTGCTTTTTTAGCAGTCTCTAAGGATAAAAGGTATGTTAAAGAGCCAGTGGATTGTCTCCCCAGTTAGCAGGAGGATTAAGCCTTTTATTTTGCACAAATCCTAATGATTAAGAAATTCTAAATCAACACAATTTTTTTTTTTTTTTTCACAAAATACATAATGAAACAAAGTCTTCAATGAAATGGAACTGTGGTCATTACAGGGATATTCAGTAATGGCTTGGAACTCAGATAGAAAAAAATATCTAATCATAACAGTTATACATATTTTATATTAGACATGAAATCTAACATTCCAGTGTTTAAACCAGGCCCTGTTGATACAGGGTTACATATGAGCTCTCTCATTTGAAAGACGTGATGTAATTTAAATATAATTATAATTTCTAGCCTTTCTCTTTGAGGCACAATATTGAGTTAGAGTTCTTAGAGCAAAGTAAAAATGCTAGCCAGAATGGCTGGTCTAACAGATAATACCAAAACAGACAGGGAAGAACAACTCAGAGCTTGTCACATGCATTGGAGGCTGCATGAAAGGGCTTGATGAAGAGGCATGCACAGGGACAAGATGTGAAGCACTGACAAAAGGGGAAGTCGAAAAAGATTGATCTGGAGACACCTGAAAGGCAGCAAGGATGGGTGTACAGAGGAAGAAATGGGGGCTGTAAAAGTAGATCAAGAAGATTCACCTGGATGATGGAAGGAATGTGAGGTCGTCACACTTTAATGAGGAGAACATTAGAAAGAATGTTTTTATAAAACTTGACAAAGAAAATATGTGCATATGAAAGATCATAATTTCAATAAAATAATGTAACAAAGGTCTGAGCAAGAGTGTTTGGAAGAAAAGATATTGGAAAAAATTAATTTAAAATAAGACAGACTGAGAGCCAGGTTGGATGGGCAGTTGAGAGGGATTTTGAGAGACAGAGTGGAACAGGTAATATCTGCAGGTCTATGAATTCTTTTTACCTTTCTGGGGCAGCTGCTGGGGTAGAATTTGAGGATTTCAGATATTTGTGAAGGAAGCCTAGAAGAAAGATGGAGAGTTTTATAAGGACATGTAGTGACAGGACACGGGGGAATGGATTCAGACTGGAAGAGTATAGGTTTAGAATGGATATTAGGTAAATAATTCTCTACTGCAAGAATGGTGAAGCATTGGAACAGGTGGCCCACAGAAGTTGTGGATGCCCCATCACTGGAAGTGTTCAAGGCCAGGTCGGATGGGCTCCGAGCATCCTTGCCTAGTGAAAGGCGTCCCTGCCGCTGGCAAGTCTGTTGGAACCAGATAATCTCTAAGGTCCCTTCCAACCCAAACTAGTCTATGGTTTGTTTGTTCAGTCTACGATTGTCAGTTCTACGGTGGTGACAAGGCAACTCCTGCAGTGGAAGAAAAGAGAAGAGTTTGAGGGGAGAAGTGAAGCCTTTGGTTTCAGCCGTGACTGGGACAGCACCAAGGCGAGGCCTCCCGTGCCTGTGCCTATGGCTGCGACCATGGCTGTGCCTATGGCTGTGCCTGTGCCTATGGCTGCGGCCATGGCTGTGCCTATGGCTGTGCCTGTGCCTATGGCTGCGGCCATGGCTTGTGGCTCTCCCGGTCCCTGTAGCTGTGAGGGCGCACGGGAGCAGCGGGCTCCTGCCCTCAGGGCGCGCTCACGGCTGCCGCGTGCCTACCCGAACCCGAACCCGAGCCCGAGCCCGAACCCGAACCCGAACCCGAACCGGAACCGGAACCCGAACCCGGACCCGGACCCGGACCCGGACCCGGACCCGGACCCGGACCCGGACCCGAGCCCGAGCCCGAGCCCGAGCCCGAGCCCGAGCCCGTACCCTTACTCGCGCCCCCGCCCCCCCAGGCCACGCCCCCTGCGCGCCCGCAGCACACCACCCTCCCTCCCACTCCTCCACCCACCGCGGAGCCGCCGCTGATTGGTCCGTGTCCCGGAGGCGCTGACCAATGGGAGGCCGGTCCGGGACCCCGCCTCTTTAGAACGCGCTGCCGGTGGAGGGCCGGCATCGCGGCGATGGCGGCGGCGGGGCGGGCGCTGCGCGCGGCGCTCCCCGCCGGGCTCTGGGGCCGCCTGGCCCCGCTGCCGGGCGCGCCCCGCCGGACCGCCGCGCACTTCTCTTTCCAGCCGGACCCGGCGCCCAGCGAGTACGGTGAGAGCGCGGCTGGCCGGGGTCCACCCCGCGGGCCGGCCTCAACCTCGCTCTGCCGCCGGGTCCGTCCTGTCGCCCCCCCCCCTTCTTGGCGGAGGCCGCCAACAACCGGGATGGGAGGGGGGCAGGCGGGACCCGCCGAGGGCCCGGTGGGGCGCTGCGAGTCGGGACCCGGGCGGCGGAGGCATCCGCACGGCCGCGTGACCCCGCTGTGTCCTCGGCGCTTCCAGCCGCGGGTTGTCCGCAGAATTCCTGGGCTGTGGGTGGGAAGGTCCCTGTAGGCCGCTGGCGGGGCGGACAGGCCCCCTCGGCGATGGGGAGGCGAAGTGTTTCGGGCTGTCAGAGCCAGAGCTGCGGTAGATGGGCCCATGGTGTGCTCTCTAAGGCCATCCTCGGCCCCCGTCCTGCACCAAAAGCTTCTGGCAGTAACTTCTCTTGACGTCTATCCTGGTTTTTGTATGGCATGCTTAGCTCATGAGTGTGATAATAAACCTGTGATGAATAAAGACTCCATGCTGTCTGCTGAAAGGTTCGAGGTCATCCTCGTGGTCACATGGTTGAGAGTAAGCACAGATAACTTGCGGCATTTGACTTTTATTTGAGATGCGTCCCTGTGAATGGCTGGTGCTGAGTTCTCGTGGAAGGAGCCTGCCAGCTGCAGAACAGCTGTTTCTGTCACATGAACTCACTATCCTCTAGAAAACTTGTTACTTGGTTGGATGCCTTGGTGTTGCATCTCAATCATGAGCAACAGAAATTGAGTTTCCATGAGTGACAAAGATGTACAGGTGACCAAAGTGCCACATGGTGAAACTTGGGGATGGCAGGTCCCTGCTTGAGATCATGTAGAGAAGCTCTGGAGTGGTATGCCAGTTATTGCCATTAATTAGTAGAAAATGAATTCCCTGTGAGTGAAAATACACTTTGAAATTCTGTGAAAAGCAGTGGAAGTGAAATAAAATTATGGCAATATTGATCCTGCTCTTGTTGAGCTATTGCTTTTCCAACTTCATGGTTCAAATCTAAAAGGGACAATTAGTTCACCCTTTCCTCTGAAGGGCTTATACAAAGGCCTGTGTTACAAGCAAGAGAAGCAGGTTAGAACTATTGTGGTGAGAAGTTTCTGACACTAGCTTAAGTAATAGCCATTTATTTATTTCAAATACTGGAAGGATGGTGTCTTGTAGAAAAGATAACCTAAGTACCAATATGGATGACTACGGAAAGAGAGAAACAGCTGCCATTCCTGAGCTTTTCATCTCTTGAATTTGTAAATTTTGTTCTTTAGGGCTTTTGTATAATTTGAACAGTTCCTGTAACATTTTCTTTTCCACATTTTCCTCTCCTTAAAGGGCCATGTAAAGTATAACAGGTGAAGTTAGCAAGCACAGGAATGTGTAGGAATGCAGCTATTCAGCTACTCAGGTGTGATGTGACATGAGTCTAACAAAAAATACTAACTTTAATTAAAGATTTAGAAGAAAGGGAAGCTGAATGTTTGTTGAGAGGTACTATAACTACTGGGAAAAGAATGTAGTTCACCTTGCTGAGTTCTAACACCTGTAAGTTTGTGTGGGATCGTCATCTAATAATCTCATTTATTTATTTAGTTTTACACACTGTGTGTGTTGGTAGGTAGCATTCTCCTGGGCTGTGGCTTCTAGTCATGACTGAAGAGGTTTTGCCAGTTAAAGAGCTACCAAATGTAGCCAAGCAATTTCTTACTTACTTGGTTTCTTTTAAGAATTACTGTATTTGCTTGGAGAGTATGCATTGGTCACAGCAGTGAGGACTAGGCTACTATTTTGGTCCATCTTTGCTTTCAGGTCTCCTTGTTTTTCCCAAAAGTGCTGGAATGAAGAAGGGCATTCTGGTAGCCTTGGTTTGAATTAAACAGCTTGCTTTACTTTGGCACCAAGTTTCTTTCTTTGAAGTATGGATTTGAAGCTTCAGACACTTACTAACTGCAGTGCAGAGAGCAGGCCAGTGTCTAGAAAATTTCTGATAAAAATAAATGTCTGTAAATGGGAAAGTCTGGAGCTTAAAAAAGTGTGATTAAAGAATGATAAAGTAAGGTTCAGTGAATTTTAGTAAGGGCGTTATCCCAGTCCTCAAAACAGTAATATGTTGGTTTCTTCCTTTGAAAAGGAAGGCATTTTTCCCAGTGCTTGACTGAGCTTTGCAAAGCTGAATCTGCTCTAGGCAAGAGAACAGTTTTTTGAAAAAAAAGTTGAGAAGTGGAATTATAGTCCTTGGGAAGGCTCAATCCTATCTGTCCTGTAATTTAAGTTTATTCAACAAATGAATCTTGGGTATTCCTAACAGGGATCTTGTTTTTGGTGGTTAAGCTTTTAGACATGTTTGCACCAGTGTTTTCTAATGTACTTTGTGTTTTGAACCAAATTAAATAGTGGAATGGTCATTTTCACACAGGGGAAACTCAGAAGATGAATCTCTTCCAATCCATAACAAGTGCCTTGGACAATGCTTTAGCCAAAGATCCAACTGCAGGTACCTTGCACTTTTTAGTGTATTTTGCTTTATATGAATTATGTTTTGGTTTGCCTATCTATGTACAATATTTAATGTATTTCTCATGGCCTGTAAAGTTTTCTAATAAGTTATTACTACACTTTGATCTCAAATCTTAAAAAAATGTTGCATTGACAGATTACTAATGGATTGTATGGTCTAAAATGCAGTTGTATCTTCTGTATTAGCTCTGTGTATTTCACTTGAAAGTGAGGACAGAAGATACATTATTTAACATGTTTAAAGTATTACTGATATGAGAATTGTCCTTGAGGGCAGCTTGAGTCCCACTAGTAGGAGTTTTTAAAATGTAAACATTAGTTTTGCATTTCTTAAACTTTCTGTTCCCTAAAACTGGTATTTTTTCAGAGACCATATATTCCTTGCTCTGTACATTCTACTTTCTTCCCTGCCCTCCAAATTTAATCTATAGCTTTACTGTTTTCTGTTCATTGTTGTGCATAAGCAGTGTAAGATTTGCTAGGCTTTTGTGGTCTGGATAACCCATGACTTGGAAGTATAGTGGGATTTGAAAGGCTTACCATAAACTATTGCACAAAACTATTTACTCCACTTTTAATTCTTATATATAACAGGAGGTCTTTTGCTTCTGTTGTCCTAACAAAGGCATGATGATGGCCAGATATCTGAAAGAGATGCTTCATGCCATGAACACAGCTGCTAAGGCTGCATCATCTTGTGTAATTTTGGGTTTTCTTTTTAGTTTGTTAGTAGCTCTTTTTGGCACTGTTTGAATCACTGCTCAACCTAAAGTTAATTGTCTTATCTTTTGGGACAAATTCCGTGTTATCTGTCCAGTACTATGCCTGTGTACATTCCCTCTCAATCTCAGCTGTTTGATATGCACCTCAATTAGATTAAACTTAGACAACTGAGGGTAAATTAGGGCCAAGAACAGATTTGATTACCATTTCTGTAGAAACAGCCATATAAAAGCAAGTAGAATGTTAGTCCATCACGAGCCTAGACTCATATATATATCTTGAGCCTTTAGAGAGCCAGTTGCTCTAGGATTCCAGTCTTGCTCCTCAGCTTTGCAGGGCTTAGTCTTTGTAAAGCCCTTTGCAAGACCATGTTGGAGTTCTACGGTCCAGATGCGAGTTCTCAGAATCACTGCACTTACTGAACTAATTAGGACTTTTCACAATGGAAAACATGTCCTTCATATGTTTTTAGTTGTATAGGAATTGAGCAATTGTTGTTTAAGTGTGGATATCCTCATACTTGTGTTGATGAGAACTAGAATGTCTCCAGGAAAATACATTTCAGTGGCTGAACTGAATGAGTAAATCCATTCAAGTTTGTGGATACCAGCATTAAACGGGAATATTTTTTGTAGATGCCAGCTGGCTCTAAAGTAAGGAGCCATATGGTAACAAAAAGGACTTGCAAAGATTTTAAGCACATAAAACCCCACCCAAATTGTTAAAAATTAGAGAAGTGATTTAGGGACATAGTTCAATCATAAACTCCATGAGTGCATTCCTTTTACATCTTTATAGAATTTATTTTTCTTTGTGGTGTCACTGATGTGATTAGCACAAGTATGCTAATCCCTTTTAGTGATTCCAATCAGAAATTTATTTTATTTAACGAAGAATAGTATTTGAAAGGCAAGAAGGTTAACTTATTATTTTGTGTCCTTTAGAATATGGAGAATATTGAAGAATTGTGGAATAATAAGGACTGACCATGGTTCAGGCAAACAGCTATTGGTGGTATTGCTGCACATCTTACATGCTTAAAAATTTGAAATGTTCAATAGTTGTTTCTGTGAAACAGACAACAAAACTGTTTTAAGAAAATTAGACATAACCATCCCCTAAATTAAAAGAAAAAACCACAAACAGATTAGTTGATATGAAGCTAAGTTTTAAAGGCAAATACTTTTAGTGATAAAAGTTTATTGACTACAAGAATAGTAGTGTTAAATACTGAGAACTGTCCTAGTTATTAAATAGTCATCTTTTCTGTAAAGGTGTTCCTTTGAAGTCACTCTTCAGGGCTCTGGCAAGTATGTTTGGAGGAGGCTTGACATTTCATATTGGATTAATATTTTGAAAAAAACTTCAGTTTGATGGTTTTCAAAACATTATTGAAATCTGTGGATGAAGAATGAAAATGGTTCCCATTTGAAGCAGAAGGCTTAATTTCAATGACTCATTTGTGACTGAGTGTAATTGCTTTTTGGAATTTTACTCATTTAATTTTAGACATTGTGTTACTATAGGATAGTTCAAAAAAGTAGATAGCTAATGAAAGCCTAACAGAATAACTGTCATGAATTCTGTTTTGAGACAGCTGTGTTAGTGTTCTGATTCCTCATTAACCATGGTTCTTCATTTGGTATAATCAGGCTATGCATGAGAAGTGCTTAGATCTAGATAGATCTTGAAGTGAAATGAAATGTTAGCAGTTACTTTTGTTAGTGTCTCATATAAAAGCCTTTGAAACACAATTGTTTAAAAGTAAGATGTGTTGGAGTAATGTTAGCCTCCCCTACTATTCTTATTTTCAGTTGTATTTGGTGAAGACGTGGCCTTTGGTGGAGTCTTCAGATGTACAGTTGGCTTGCGAGACAAGTATGGTAAGTTTATGTAATTTATAAGTCTGACATCAGTTTCATATTAACATCTCTGCTCTTTTTTTTTTACCCATTTTGCTGTGAGAAGTGTTGTTACTGGAATGCTAAAAAACCGTAAAATCAATGTTTCATGTATGCAGGCTAATTAGTGTATAGCATTTTACAGGTCTTGGAAGCTGGTTGTGGAGACAGTAACATGATGCAGCTTTTAATTTGGCAATTGCTACTCCCCCAATGGGCTATTACAGAGAAGAAGAGGTTATAACATATTAAGTTTCAGCAGCTTACTTTCTTCAAGGCACAGAGATGACTTGGACCTTTTGCAGCAAGTGATTAAATCTACTCAACGATAATAAAGATGTGTTACAGCCATCTTGGAAAGCAAACGTACTCTTGGAGAGTAAACCCAAAAAAGGAGAGGATGAAGACTATACTTATGAAAAGTTTCAGAAACACAACCATATTTTGTTGCCTTGCTTCTCTGCTTCAATTATTATGTAGATGTTCTCTTGCTCTCTAGTTTACATGTTAGTGTTCAAATAGTTTGGATTGAACTTCTGTTAGCCATGATCTTGAGCGCTGTTTGTTGAGACTGAGTTATATTTCTGTAACTGGTGTGATACATTGACTGTGTGTGCTAGACTCCATATGAAAACCAGGCCTCTGAGACAGCAACCGGTTGCTGGATACATGGACAACAGAAGATGTTGTTTGGGAAGTAACAGGAGCAGGTGGTTGTATAAGCAACTTTCTTGGGTTTTAGTGAACATCTCCAGTTTAAAAGACAGAGGGGACAAACTTTGTATTGTTAGGGTGGTTCTGTGAGGGTCTTTTGATGCGTTTTTTGATGTAAGGTGTCACGTAATATTGGAGTGAAGAAAAGAGATTATTTAATCTTTGTAGTAGCATTTTATTGATAGCGTGTTCCAATGTGCCAGTGCTGTTCAAAGACTCTGTGACAGCTCTGAGTGCCCTGAGCACAGGGGGTCTGTTGAGGGAGTGCAAAGGACTGTTTACACTGTGCTAATGATAACCAGCAGTCACAGCACATCAGCAGCCTAGCTAGAGTCAGGTTTATTTCATGCATATTATAACAAAGATTTTTAATGAGATTTTTGAGGAAGCTATGGTGTGACTTCAGGAATATTTGGAAAGAACTCCTTTAAAATTTGAGAGGGAACATGGGAATTGTACTTATATGAAGTACAATTGTACTTATACGGGCATTGAGCAAAGACTAATGAAACGAGAATTGCCATTTGCTCAGAAAGGGTACTAACCTCCTCAGGGTGAACAAGAGGAAATACAAGTTTGAACAGGAAGAGAGTCTGAAGATAAGGTCCTGAATTTAGGACTCATTTACAGAATGGGAATTCAGTTTTGTAAGGCAGATAAGAGGACACTGGTAATTCAGCTTCTTTCTTCACTGATAGTGAAATTCAGTAGAAAACAGGCAGTGGCTGAGGAGGGAATGGCAAAGATGAAGTGGAAAATGTACTGAAAATATAGTTATAATACTGAGGAGAAACAAAAAAGACCGAAAGTGCAAAAAATTGAAAGAATACAGTGTTTTGAGGGGTGTGTCTGCCTATTGGTGCAGTCTCCGAGATGAAATAAATTCTAGATGGAATGCTTGTTTTATGAAAAGGCTACACTCCCTGTAAAATAAAGAGGAATTCCAGATGGAAGTGACAGCCAACCAACCTGATGAATCTTATGAGGAGGATGACATACACTTACTGACTCTTTCCCCACACCCCTCCTGAATTTACTGTCAAATTATAGTAGGTGATGCAAGTAATATAATGTGAGGTTGTTTCTATATGTTGATATAAAATATGAAGGAATGGGTTTTTTTTCTTCTGTCCTGGAAGAGAGGCTGATTTTTGTTTCATTTATTTAGTTTCTTTTTCCTTGTAAATAATTAAAATCACTAGGTGGCAGTCTATGCCTGTAATTTGTTATTTTGATAAAAACTGATAGTTCATTTTAAAGCACTTTTATAGAGGTCAAGGTCTAAATATAATCTAATATTATAGTAGGAAGAACTCAATATAGTAATACTCAGTATTATAGAGATGTTGGTTGGTGTCCAGAATGTTACTGAAGTCTCTGTGGAGCGACAGAAAAGAAATTTGCTTTTAGAATAAATTGGTCATTAAATATAAAAGCTGCTATTTTTTTTTTTCCAGTGGAGTGTTACAAACATAGCCAGAGGCCTGTACTAGTAAGTGAAGGAAAGCTTATTGACTTTTTAAGGAAATAAATGCAACCTTTTGAGCAGATGAATTTTTAATGTGTTACCAGGAATTATGTTTAAAAATATTTAATTAAGGAATTGTATGTAAATAAGTCAGTGTGTGGAAGTTTAATTTTCATGATAGCATGACTAAAGATGGTATGTTTGTTCCTATGCATCTTATGTCAAGGTCTGAAATACGTTATTCTAGTTTTCTGGTATTGAGTTGAATGTTTAAAAATCTGTTGCTGTATAATTCTGAAAATTGGGAGACTTTCTGAAATATTTATGCAGAGTGCTCCTTTCAGATAAGGGAATTAAGTGTTGTACAGTTTTTTTCCTTTGTCCCCTCTCTCTGGTCTGGTACCCTGGAAGTCAAATTCATGTTTTTTTTTTTATCTCCTTCCCCATCGCCCTCTGACAGGTTTTTGATTGTCACCGTTTTGCAGAAGTTACATCTTCTAACCTCTAGAGTATCTTTATTGAAATAAGGAATGCCTGCTGTTCCGTAGTCCTGCTCTCTGGAGGTGTTTCCTGTCCTTAGAACAGTGTGGTGTAAACTGCCTGCTGTGTTTTGATAGCCTAGGTAATGTGTGCAAACACATTTTAATTTTTTTTTATAAAGGGAAGTACATTATTTTTCCAGTCCTTCAGACAAAATGCTGTCCATTTGTCTTTGAGTCTGCAAATGGATTTGAAACAATGATCTTGGAATAGGAATATATGTCCTGTTGCTCTGCCTGAAGTGTAAAATAAGGTGGCAACATGTAAAGATTGGTATCATCCACATGACAGAAATATAGAGGAGATCAGAGGTAGGAATTAGATTATAGGAGGTAAAGAAATTGGGGGTAAAAACAAGGTAAAAATGGAGAAAGTGGACAGAAGTAAAGACTGAGAAACAAGAATAGCAAAAATAGTGATTGACAAGGGATGTAACCCAGAAGAATGCTAGGGCAGGTGTTTTTTGTGTAACACAAAAAAAAAAAAAGACCTCTCTATCCTACTGTGGCCAAGAAATGAAGATTACATAAACAGGGTAGTGAAGTGCATATGTATATATATATATATATATATATATGTATATTATACTTCCCTTGAATGTTCTTTCTGCCGTCCTCCAAACACCCACAGCTTGGGGGCTTCCTTATCTGTGAGTGCCTCTGTGGTGATTTGGCCTCTGTGGTGATTTTTCTTTCATACCATTCTGGCCTGCACTTGAAGGGAGAATCTAATGTGCATGAGGGTAAGGATCAGGAGCTTTTTGACTATTTCAGAGCTTGATATTTTGAGAATGTGGAAGAGAATCAGTCCTTGCTCAGAACTCTTGAGAGTCCAACAGAAGAAAGGTGAGCTTGGCAGGTCTTTCCCCATAGCAGTGCTTGAGTAAGGGCTGACTTTTTTTGGGTGTATATGTTCACTTTTACAGATGAAGTTTGCAAACCCTTTGAGGTTCTGCTCAATTCCCTATTGCACAGCAATGCCTTGTCATGGAATGTCCTTCTGTTTGCCACCAAGGGAGTCTAGGTGACTGTATTTACAGGCCTGAATTGATTGTTTTCTAAGTTTTTGAGCTATTGAAAATTATTTTTGACTGAAACAGTAGTGTAAATGAGTCTTTTACTTTTTGAGTAGGGAATTCCTGAATAATACCATTTTAATTCCCTTGCAACTATTTTCAAATACAGGTAGAATGTGAATACTTTGAATGGGAGTTTTTATTTCAAAGATTCTCTCAGTTCCAGGAGGATGTCACTGTGGTATCTCCTGCTAGAAGCAAATGCTTGCCCAGGGTATAAGAGACTTGACCTAATGCTGTTCCTCAGGAGTTCTGAACTTACTCCACAAAGAGTTGGCTGAGCTACCAAAGCGGATCCTTGTGGAGATACAGCAGAAATGCTTTTTTCAGCAGTTGTTAGCTTGAACTGTTTTGGAATGAATTTGTCTTTTGCTTGTGTGGTTAATGTGTCACTGTTTGGGATCCTCTGTGTGATCTCAGAGTGAACAAGAGGAAGATAGGGTTCTTCCTTTCTGGATTAATGTCCCATCACTGATTGGAGAGTTTCTGACTCATGGCTTTTTATTTTTCATCTGTTCTGTGGTCTCTGTTATTGCTGTTCCCCTCCTTTTGTGCGTCAGTGCACACAGAGATGTACTGCCCACAGCAGCTTATGGTGCCCTCAAACACAGTCAGTTAGAACAAAGTGCTTTTCCCAAGGTTTCTGTGTAACATTGCTGAAATGTTCTAGAGGGATGTTTGCTGCCTTTATTAGCAATGCAGTGTTGGCTGTCAGTTTGTGGCCCGATTTAGTCCCCAGGTTTTTTTAATCTACTGCTGTGCAGCCACTAATTGATTTTTTGCTGGGTGGATGCTTAATAAAATGAAACTCAGTAAGAGCAACTGTGTGTCACTCCTATATGTACGTAGGATAAAACAAAATCAATCTCAGCTGATTTGCTTTTGGGTAATACTGAGGTGTACCCATGGCTAGAGACATTATTACATGCAGGTAGTAGTAAATATGTAATAAGCAGCTTCATTTTTTTTTTCTCCTTACTCATGTTACGGTTTTGTCATGTAGAGTGGAAGGGGAATGTACAAGTTACTTGAAATTTAATTCTCTTTTTTCCCTAATGTTTTCAAGCTTATAGGATTATTTTTATATAATCCTTCCTGTGCTTTATTATTATTATTATTATTATTTTGATGCAGCTAGGAGTGTAAATATAGTTGCTAGGATTATTTCCTTCCAAACTATATTTT